GGGCAAAGTTCTAAGCCTCCCCCCCCCACAACTTCCCAGCAGCTGGAATCCCATACCTCTACTAGAGCTCATGGGAGATGCAGTGGAGATGGTTCCTTGGCCACTTCACCAATCTAAAGAGACAGGATTGGGAGTAAAAAACAAAAGTCCTATCCGATTCTCAATTTTTTAAAAAAGATTTATTTATTTTTATTGGAAAGGCATATTTACAGAGAGGAGAGACAGAGAGAAAGATCTTCCATCTGCTGGTTCACACCCCAAATGACTGCAATGGCCAGAGCTGAGCCAATCTGAAGCCAGAACCCAGGAACCAGGAGCTTCTTCTGGGTCTCCCACGTGGGTGCAGGGTCCCAAGGCCTTAGGCCATCTTCTTTTGCTTTCCTAGGTCACAAGCAGGGAGCTGGATGGAAAATGGAGCAGCCATGATATGAGCCCATATGCCCAATGGGAAACCTGCACTCGGAGGTGGAGCCAATGCACCAGCCCCTGATTTTCAACTTTATAACAGAAGGCCTGACATGAGAAGTCTAAGGATTGGCATTTGAGTCTAATGCCCTTTACTTCTCCACTACTTGGAGCTGGGGTAGGGATAGCACAGGCAACCCTCTCCTTCCTACATTCTTCAGTGAGACTTTCCTCATTATAGTATAAACCACACAGTGTGCAATGCTTTCCTTTGTCACTTAGAAGGTGCCTTGGTATATGAATAACTGTTCCAATCAGGGTCGCAGTGGAAAGACAATCTACTCAGCCACTATCTTGTTTACCCTCCAGTTATAACTCTCATTAAATGAGGAATAGGCAAAGCACATAAAGAAATAAAAGGACAGTAGAATCTAAATGTGTATGGGATACACTTTTAGGCAAACGACTATAACTTAACAAATCAGCTGCGGGCAGACCTTTCATGGACTGGTTTCTCTCTGCATGCAGTCATATGGCCTGTGCAGCAGTTAAACATAATCCCTGATCTCAGCAGCCCCTTTGTTCAAGTTCAAGAACAGGTCACCTAGTAATTGTCTTCAAAGTCCTAGATATCGGATATACTTGCAGCTCAGGTCTGCTTTTTCCTCCTGCCTGCTTTAAGTTGTTCCCAAGGACATTCAATTGCCTCTAAAGATGCTGTATTGGATTGTCCTTCCATTGCAGAAATACTGAAACTGGAAGCTGCAGGTGACAGACTATAGATACAACTATACAAGAAAAATGATCCTAGGGCCAGTGTTGTCATGCAGCAGGTTTAGCCATGACTGGTACCACCACTAGCTACACTGCATTGTCAGTTTAAATCCTGGTTTCCCTTCCTCTAATCCAGCTCCTTACTAATGCACTGGGAAGACAGACAAAGATGGTCCCCATGTGGTAGATGCCAATGGAATTTCAGACTTCTAAATTCAGATAGTCCAGACCTAGATGTTGTAACCATTTGGGAAGTAAGCCACCAACTAGGAGCATTCTCCTTCTGTTTTCCTTCTTAACCCAATCCCCCCCACTCCTTCCCTTCCTGTCACCTTTGCCTTTCAAATACATAAATAAATATGGAAAGAAAGAAGGAAAGAGAAAGAAAGAGCTCAACTCCAGAATCATGTGCCCACAATTATTCAGTGTCTAAAGATCAGTAAATAAATATATCATTATATAATCTTAAGTTAAAAGAGTTTTTCTAGAGAAACTGATTAATCATATTTTACACTTTTAATTTTAATCAGCTTTTTTACTTAATCAATCAACCACCAGGCCAGATCACACAGGATTAAAGAGATCTTCGTATTCGAATAAGCACCTTTACAAGGTGCTTATGTCTAGACCTGGAGGCCATTATTAAACCATGTCAATTATGACACCAAATTGAGGTTTGAAAAATGATTCTTAGAAGGAGGAATTGATAAATAGTAACAGAATAACAACCTGGAGATCCTGCCAAAATCTGTCTGATCCAGTCTCGTAAAGGAGCCTAAACCAATTCACTTACATGCTAGAGTTTGTTCTATGAGAATTCATTAGAGAAGATAACTGTTACCCCTCCTTGCTTTGAAGACATAATCACCTGTCTCCTAGCCCAAGCTATGTATTCTGAAACTTACATTTAGTTTTTTTCTTGTCTACTCTGAAAGAGACTGACACCTCTCACTGTTCGATCTGGTTGTTTTATCTGGATCTCCCTAAGCGACTCAATCAGCAAACACACATAAATATTTGCTTAACACTGACAGTGTACCTGGCACTGTACTAGCCATCAGAGACAGGCAGAGAACTAAATAGACACAATCTGGTTCTTAAAATACCCTCATCTTAGAGCTCATGTTGTGCCATGATGGACTCATCGACTGTTTATGATGCTGTCATCCTATATTAGAATGCCATTTCAAGTCCTGACTGCTAACCAGCTCCCTACTGATAGGAAAGCAGTGAATGATGACCCAAATACTTGGACACCTGCTATTCACAACAGAGCCGCTAATAGAGTTCCTAGTTTCTGGCCTCAGTCTGGACCAGCCCTGTCCGTTGCTGCCATTTGGGGATTAAACCAGTGGATGGAAGATCTCTCTCTTTTTCTCTGTCATTGTTTCTTCCTCTCTGTCACTCTGCTGTTCAAATAACCTACTCCCCTCAGCGCCCAAAAAACTCAAAACATGAAGGTAAGGGCATTAAAAATGTATTAAGAAAGCTTTTTAATGTTGTGAAACAAATCCACAGGTAAGGCCATGACTAGAGTGAAGCAAGTGAGGCATGGCAGTGCAGAATTCCTGAACTCCCAGGTTCCCATTCAGCACCTGTAATGCCACAGCCCAGTCCTTTTGCTGTTGGTGGCGTCCCCCTTCTTCTTCCTGTCTATGTTTAGCTTTGCTGCAGCCAAGCTTCCAGAGCCTTGCTTCTCGCATTCTTTCACAGCCCACTATAAATAAATAATCTGATTCTTTCTGCCATGTGTGTATGCTATATCTTGGCATGGTTTGCACCTAGGAAGTGGTTTTAAGGATTTGTTTAACTATAAATGTTTTAGCCTTACTACTTCTCAGCAAGAAATGACTATTTTGTTTTTCAGCTAATAAATTAGCAAGCAAACCTGAGAGTTATAAGTAACTCTTACTCTGGGGAGTAGACAGGTTCATCAACTACAGATGCCTAAACTCACATGAGTGTTAAGGCACTATGAAAAATGTCTTGCTGAAATAATGTACTGAGAAACAGGATACGGCAGTCATAAAGAGGTTAGTGGTAATGATCGGAGTCCACTGTCAAGGTCTGACATTTGGCTGTTGAATTAAAAAACAAGATATAATCCCTATTACTAATAGGCAGATACCTAATAGGAATGATGAATGGATGACTACGCATGGGGAGACAAGCAGAGCACTGGAACAGTTCACAGGCTGGTGGAGCGAGCAGACAGGAGCCTGAGGGGAAGACTGCATCCTCTCCAAAGTCACATGTTGAGTGAACATGTCCAGCCACAAGGGAATAGAGCCTGATAAAGTGACTTTTGGTAATTGGGATTTAGTGCAAGTGGACACAGGAAATAAGAAGGCAACAGTCAGACTGCATTGGGAACACAATCCTTAGCACTCAGATTTTCCTGGTTCTCCTGGAAATGGATCCATTTTTCCTGGCATTTGGTGTCCAAAAGAGACCTTCCTTTCTACTATGTGAGGACATAGCAAGAAAGCTGTGGGGAAAAACCATTCTCCACAGCTCCCAGTGTGCTGTTAGACCTCTCAGCCTCCATGCTGGGGAGGGGGAAAGCTCTGTCACTTTCAAGCTACTCAGTTTACAGTTGAGTATTTTTTGAGAGCAGTCCAAAAGGACTGAGCATGATGACTTAAGAAGAAGAACCTGAGCTGAGAAAGAGAGAATCTTCCACTCACTGATTTACTCCTCAAATAGCCACAAAAACCAGGGTTGGTCCAGACTGAAGGCAGAGGCTAGAACTCCATCTGGTCTCGCGTGTGGGGACTGGGGGCCAAGGACTTCATCCATCTTATTCTGCCTTCCCTGTCACATTAGCAATGACTTGAATGGGAGGTATAGAAGCCAGAACTCGAACCTGCACCAACATGGATGTTAGTGTCGCAGGCAGCAGCTTAAGATACTGTGCAACAACACTAGCCCCACTGAACTGGGTTTTAACGTAAGACTAATGTTAAACATGAGTGAAAGAGAAAAATGCAACCAAGGGAGAGGGGACCTCAGAACTGTTAAATTTTTTCCAGATTGAAAGATTATAAGATTAGTTCTGCTAATAAAGGTTTGAACAAAAGTACAAGAAAAAAATAAGAATCAGAAACCGATCCCTACATGAGGATAGTCAGACCTCATTTGCAGCACTCGGGAATCAACACAATTCTTGGTGTTCTCAGTTTTGCTGGGTTCTCCTACAAGTGGAGCCATTTCCTTTCTTCCAGTGACCCATCACATAGATGATGAAGTCTCTCGCTCTCTCTCTCTCTCTCTCTCTCTCTCTGTTTCTTTCTTTGACCCATACACTCACTCACTCGCTATCACTCTCTCCTCTCTGCTGTTTTCCTGTATCCATCCACTACCCTTTCTAGCCATTTCCTGTGTTTTCTCTCTTCATGCTGATTATCACCACAGAGCTTCTGCCAACCACATTGCTCCTGAACATTTTGGCTCCTTCCCATACTACTGTCTGCTGATTTTCTGTTCACTGCATTCAAATTCTGTACAAGAGGTACTGTGTTGGTCAGGCCCCATCCAACAGTGGGCAGCCCTGTTGAGCATCGTTTTTATGCCAAGCCACCTCTGCTGTGTGCTCACTGAGGTCATACAGTTCAGAGCACACTGAGCTATACATAAATGGATTGGTTCAGAAGCAATAGCTCCAATGCCCACTGCAAATGTACTGAAGTAGGTAAAGCAGTGCTGCCAGTAAATGCAAGCTGTTAGCCATGCTGGAAAGTAAAGGTGGAACTGGTAATGCTGAGTGATGACATTGCTCCAGGTCCTAGAGTGGTCTGTGTTCAGGTTTAAAATGTAGCAGGGTGCTAGCTCCAGCAGCACATACACTAAAACGGAATGATACAGAAAATATTAGCATGGCTCCTGAGCAAGGGTGACACACAAATGACGTTTTCCATATTTTAATTCCTTCCTTTATGAAATTCATATCTCTGTTTGCAAGAATAATTTTTTAAAACAACTAAAGACAATATTAGTTGGATGACAATAAAATCAATAGGATCTGAAAAAATTTCTAAAAACATGCATCAGGAATGAATTTCAATCTATGACCTCACATTTAGAAGAATGTCACTTTCCTGCACATGTGAAGGTTCTTTGAAAATCCATGGCATAAGATTCGGATGGGATGGACAAATTAGGAAGTTAGTATTCACCTCCTCCTCTATGGAAGATTCAAAGTAGCCACAAGTCAAAGTGAGGGCTCAAAGAAGAGCACCCAAACGACTAAGGGAATAGAGGGAACATAGTGGAAAACAGAGACCAGGCACAGCAGCCTAGAACTGGGAACAAAGTCAACAGGTGGAGACTGAATCCTACTCCCATGGTCAGGTAAGCAGAGCCCATCTGCAGGAATGAATACCACTGTATGCAGGCCACCTTAGCTACAGAAGAATCTGGTCATCAGATTCTGGTCAGCAGCTCAGCAAGGAAAACGCAGGCTGCCACTGTTCCAGAGGAAGAATGTGGTGTGCCCTCGCCCAACCCTCAGAGCACAGGCTGTGGAAATGCAACACCATCTTAGCAAGGAAGCTAATGCCAGAAGCTATACCGTAAAAGCAGACAATAGTCCTTGCAAATCTTCTTCCCAAGGACCAGGCAAACATTCCTGCATTCTAGCAAGGAAGATTGTGTCCCATAGGTCCAATTGAACCCAAAAAAGCAATGGTGAGTACAGCACCTTAACCCACATAGTGCTCTGCCCCTCAGAGGACAGCAGGAGCAGGGCAGCTGGAATATCCACCTCTAAGACACAAGAAGTAAGAGGCCTGCCCTCCTAGATTTGGAGATTTTACTCCTCCCCATTGCCTCCACTCCATGGCCACTTGAAGCATCAGAGTTTGATGCCAGTTGGCCTCTGGAGGCTCAAGGCTCCCTGGGTATCAGGGTTAGTTCTTGCATTAGAATCTGACACACACCACATGGAATGTACACGTGGACAACGTGCTCATCCTGGAGGATGATGTGCCCAGGACTCTCCCAGCTCCACCTAGCACACTGTGTGCTTACTCAGAGCTTTGAACCAGACTTTCCATGACCCCACGGAAGGCAGCATGCACAGCTTCACCTAAGGCTTTGGCCTGGGCCCTCTATGCCATACGTAATCTATTGTATCATTCAGTTGCTAGAGTCTCTGACACAATTTCTGTGCTCTTTCCAGACCCATTGAAGGATCACAACTCCAGCTGCCCCCAGGGAAGCTGCCAAGTCTCTAGGCATGATCCCCGAAGGCCAGTGCATGGCTGCTTACCTGTGGCTGCAGCCTGGTGCTCCTGCACCTCTCCCAGCACAGCAAGAAGACTACAGAAAATGGCCCGAGACTGCTGGTTCTGCTGTCCCAGAGGCAGAGATACTGACACAGATCCAGATACTCTCTCAGGCAGAATCTGTGGACCTCACACCTACCGTCAAACATTATGAGACTCCTTGGCTTTCAACATCAACATCTGGATCCTTTCCCACTCCTGACCATACCAATCTGCAAACCACTCCTACTTGTTAGAGGTTGTTGCCAGGCCTATTTTAACAGAATCACATACTCCCCAAACCTAAACTCCTATCCAGTTCCTATTCAGGAACTATGGGGAACTAATGACAACATCTACCAACTTACTAAGATACAAGCACTCTGGTCCTAACTATTACTACTGGCAACTATAGTAAATAAAGTTATTTACCATAACATTACACTATGTTGGCCTAGTAGCACTAAAGTCAGAGTGCTCAACAAACCAATTCAGAAATGTACATCTTCAGAAAAAAGCCTTTAATTGGCAAAGACTATCCTATAAGAAACAAATAATAGATCCTCTAGTGCACAAAAATATTCCAGTACAGGAACACAAGACAAATGAATATGTAAGGCAAGATGGTGCCACATTAAGGAACACAATAATGCCTGGGTATCAATCCACTACAGCAAAACAGCTCAATAAAATGACACAGAAAGAATCCAAATAAATTTCTGTAAGGTTATTCAAGGAGATACAAGAGAATTAAAATAAGCAGCTAAAGAAAATAAGGAAATGAGTGCATGGCACAAATGAAACAGAGAGATGGAAACACAGAAAAAGAACCAAGAGAAATATTACAAGTGAAGAACTCATTAAATCAACTTTAAACATATGCTGAAAAGCTTAACAACAGGCTAGATAAAGCAGAAGAAAGAACATCTGATCTTGAAGATAGGTCTTCTGAAACATCTCCATCAGAGAAAACAAATAGACTATTAAAATGAGTGAAAAGAGTGTTCTAGAATCTCAAGGAAACCATGGACTCAAATAGTATTTGGGTTTTGAGATTTTCTAACAAAATGGAAAAGAAGAGCACCTAAGAAACCCTATTCAAACAAATAATGGCAGAAAATGTAGCCCATTTGGAGAAAAAACTAAATACCCATTTACAGGAAATTCCTAGGACTCCAAATAGATAGCAACAGAAAAGACCTTCACAACAATACAATATAGTTAAACTTTCAAAAGCAAAACACAAAATATGCACTCAAAAACTTGCGAGAGAAAAGCATTAGGTAACTGTCATAAGCACTCCCATCAGAACAGCAGCATATTTCTCAACAGAAATCTTACAAAGCAGAAAGAGTCAGCACAAGTATTGAAAGAAAAGAAAATACAAATCCAGAACATCTTACCCAGGAAACTCTTTCATAAATGAAGGTAATGCAAAATACAAAGATAAGCAAAAACGGAAAGAATTCATTACCACCTAACCAACCTTTACAAATGATATTTAAAGAGGCACTGCATATAGAAACAGAGACAAGTAATCGGCACCAAGACTGTATGAAAGTACAAAAGTCACCATGAAAAACAACAACAAAAATTATTTAAAATAAATGAAATGAATTTTAAAGGAAAATTGGCAATACCAAATCAATGCTTACCAATAATATTCTTGAATATGAAGGGCTACATTCCAAAAAAAAAAAATAAGATTATACACTGACTGACTAGACTTGAAAAAAAATAGAGCCCTCCATCCTGAACACAAAAAACATAATTCAGCAACAAAGATACACACAGACTAAAACTGAATGAATGGGGGAAGATATTCTATACAATTAGAAATTAAAAGTAAGCAATAATAAATTAATCCCCAAATCATAGAAAGGTAGAACAGAAAATACATGCAAATATCCCACATAAAAATTGATGGAAAATCCTCAACAAAATACTAATAAACCAAGTCCAACAGCACATTAAGGAAATCATCCCCTTGATCAAGGGGTATTTATCCAAAGGAGTCAGAGAGTTTAACATATGCAAAACAATAAAGGTAATATATCATACATCACAATGAAGGGTAAAAATCATATGGTTGTTTCAGGAGAAGAGAAAACATTTGACAAAATACAACACCTTTTAGGTCAGTGTGACAGCTCAACTGGTTAATCTTCGACCTGCAAGTGCCAGCATTTCATATGGGGTCAAGTTCCAGCTGCTCCACTTCCCAACCAGCAATCTGCTCATGGCCTAGCAAGGCAGCAGATGGCAGAAAGCCTTGCAAACCTGCACCCATATAGGAGACCTGGAAAAGGCTCCTGGTTCCTGGCTCCTTATCACTTTAGTTCTGGCCATTGCCATTTGGGAGGTGAACCAGCAAACTTAAGATCTCTCTTTCTCTGTGTGTCTTTTTCTCTCCTTCTTTCTGCTAATATGCCTTTTCAGTAAAAATAAGTCAATATTTTTAAAAATAAAACATCTTTTCACTATAAAAAGATCCATATACTAGATACAGCAAGAACATATTTCAACACAATATGTTGTATATGATAATTAAGTTCTCAGCCAATATCATATTGAGTGGAGGAAAGCTGCAAGCAGACAAGAATGCCCACTCTAACCACTCATTCTTGTTCAGTGCAGTTCTTAAAATTTTAGCCAGAGTCATTAGACAAGAAAAAATAAATAAAACATAGAGAATTGCAAAGGAGGAAATGAAATTATTCCTGTTCAAAAATGGCACGATTCTACAGACAAACAAAAGACTCACCAAGAAATAATTAGAACTGAAAACAGAATTCAAGAAATTTTCAGGATACAAAATCAACACACCTGATCAGCAGCAATTTGTATGGCAACAATGATCTGACCCAGAAGGAACTTTTAAGAACAACATGATACACAGTGGCTACACATACAAACACACACGTGTGCATATGTAAAATACAACCTCAGATAAATTTAATCAAGTCCTCTACAATGAAAATTAAAGGAATAATGAAAGAAATCAAAACACAAACACGCACAAATGAAAAGACCTCCCTTGTTCATAGATTGGAATTATTATTTTCAAAATGTCCATATTACCCAAAACAATTTGTAGATTCAACACAATTTCTGTCAAAACACCTCAACATTCTTCATAGAATTAGGAAAAAATTACCAAAATTCATATGGAAACACAAAAGATCTTGAATAGCCAAAGCAATTTTCAAAATAAAAACAAAGCTGGAGGCTTCTTAATAACAGATTTCTATACATACTGTAGGATTTATAATCAAAACAGCATGTTACTGCCATTAAAATAGACACATAGAACAGTGGATCAGAATAGAAACCCAAGAATTAGATCCATGCATCTAGAACAAACTCATCTTTCACAAATGTGCTAAAAACATTCATTGAGGAAAGCATAGCTACTCCAGTAAATTCTGTGAGAAAAACTGAATTTCTACATGCAGAAGTTTAAAACAAGATCCCTACTTTTTACTTTATACAAAATTCAACTCAAATCAAGGATCTAAATGTAAGATCTGAAAGTATAAAACTACTAAAGGAAAACACCAAGGAAACAAACACTACAAGATATTGGCAAAGACAATGATTTCTTGGATAAGACTCCAAAAACACAAAGAACAAAAGCAAAAATGAGATTATATCAGATA